GTGGCATATGTACAGAAAGGGCAGACAGGAAGAATGGTGATTCAGAGACCATTAGATATTACCTGAAGTATGACTGAGAGTGCAAAAATGTTTATCTCAGAAAAGAAAAGCAGATAGTCCTTTAAGTGTCTAGCGATAGATGTCACAGTGAGGACTTAATGTTTTACTTTATAGGAGATCACTGGCCAAAGGGTAAAAACTGCAGGGAAGCATTACAGAGGAAGAAATTCCTAACTAGCCAGGACTGCAAGTACACAGCCTTCCTCTGACCTCCCTTGTCACTGGATGTCTCAGAAGCTAAATGACTAATTCTGTGTGCTATTTTAGAGCAGGAGTCAGTAAAATATTTTTGTAAAAGGATTTGTGGGCCACATATAATCCTTTAATGCAAAAGCCATCCTTGGCTCATAGGCCATATGAAAACAGGTAGTATGTTGACCTCTGGTCTAAAGGAGTATCGTCTGATAGAAATATGTATATCCTGAGTTACAAATGTAATTTAAAGTTTCCCAGTACCTACGTTTGAAAAGGTAAAAAGAAATAGGTAAGGTTAATTTTCATAGACTTTAATTTAATATACCCCAAGAGTTAAAGTTATTTTGAGTCATTTATTTTATTTAAAATTTATTTTAAGGTTAGTAAAGAGACCTGCATTGTAAAAAAAACTTAAGTCACTGAAATCCAGTGTATACTTTATACTTATACCATATCTTGATTCAAGATAGCCACATTTCACGTGTTTATTAGCTACACAGGGCTAGTGGCTGTAGTAACAGACCAAACAGTTATAGACAAATTTGTGAATTCCATAGAGAAAAATAAGAGATGACCTTCTACCGATACTTAATTAATGAGTCAAATAAGTGATTCATTTGATTTAAATTAGTGACTCAAAAATACACTACTGATAAGTAGTACAGGGATGACCGGCAAGCTACCTCGAAAAAATAAAGCTGGATCCTTTCTTGTGACTTACACGTCAATGAAACTTCCAGATCTAAAGATGTCGATGTAAAATAAGAAGTAAAAAAACATTAGGAAAAAAAACATGGACCCAAGAGGAGAATGGAGGAGAAGGGACTGTGGTATGGCCATCTCCCCGGGGGGCGATTTCTCACTTTCTGTCTCGCTCTGTCTTTCTGGTGAGCGCATGCGCCCTACAGCAAAAAAAACCTCTCCAAAAAAAAAAAAAAAGAAGAAAGAAAAAAGCATGGGTAGTATGTTCTTACTATCTTGCAGTGGGAAATTCCTTTTAAAGTATGTTTTTGAAACTCAGAAACCATAAAGAAAAAGATTAGTAAATTCATTTACATAAAAATGAATAATTCTGGTAATACAAAAAAACATTAAGAGTTGAAAAGTGACAAATGGGGGGGTATTTTAAACAGATCAAAGCAGTTTTTGTTCTTGTTTTTTTTTAGAGAGAGATTTTTTCTACAGGGTATGTGAACTTGCTGGAGAGATAGAGAGACAGAAAGCAAGAAATCACTCCCCAGGGGGAATGGCGAGGCCACAATCCCTTCTCCTCCATTCTCTCAGGATTTTGGGCATGCATGCATATGCACCCGATGTGAATTTTAAGCTGCCGGGTCACACCATAATCGACTACTTGGGAGTACAGCAATGTAACCATTATATCATCTACTGGTGCTTCAAAGTGTTAATAATAACAACAAAAAAAAATCTCTTGGGAGCTCAGCAGGTGGTTTGGTGGTTAAGGCACTGGATTCTCACATGGCCAATCATGGTTTGAATCCTGGGCCTAGCAGCCTGAAAATCATGTTGGGCGTGTGTGTGTGTGTGTGTGTACCCGTGTGCATGCATGTGTGTGTGTGTGCATGTGCACCCCATAAATCCTGAGAGGAGCCTGGAGGAGAAGAGACTATGGAGGCTAAGGAGCTGGATCTCACATGCCAACTCCATGGTTCAAGTCTTGGACCCAGTGGCTTGAAAACACTCCAGGAGCATGTGCATGCGTGCCCAGGATCCCAAGAAGAGAATGGAGGAGAAGTCACTGCACTGTGGCCAGCTCCCTGGAGAGTGATTTCTCACTTTCCCTTTCTCTCTGTCTCTCTCAGGCAAGCACATGAACCCTATGTCAAAAAAAATCTGAAAAAGAGAGAAAGAAAACTCTGAATATAAAAAGCATCCTTCACAAAGACAAATATCCAAAAATAAAAATGGGGGCTGCCTCCATAGCCTAGTGGTTAAGGGAGCCAGAGGGCATATGGCCTGACACGGTTTGGATCCTGACCCCGGAGGCTTGAAAAGCACACCAGCACAGGTGCACACATGCCCAAAATCCCAACAGAGGGGAGACGGGATTGTGGTATAACAGTTAACAAGATAGGAACATCATACCAACAGGGTAATTTTGATCTTTTCTGATTAATATAAACTGTAAGAAAAAGAAATACCGAAAAAGGTGCTATTTAAACCACGAAATTGGCAAAGACTGGCAATGAGCCGTTTCCCCTGGCCCTCAGCAAAACAGTTTTTACAATCCGGGTACTACTGAGGGAATGTAAATGAACATGACTCTTCTCAGGCACAGCTCGGCAACCTGCCTCAATGTTCTCTCACTGGAGAAATTTACCCCAAGAGGCAACGCGAAAGGGCAAATGGGTGAAGGCACAAAGCTGTCCACTGAAGCATGATTTGTGAGAAAATAACTGGGAGCAAACTAAATGCCACCAATAGGCTTGATTACATTAAACTAAGGTCATTAAAGATACTACAGGTTTATTACGGAAAGGCAGTAACCTTGCCGGGAGGAAAATTCAAGTGATAAAAAAAGTATATATAGTGTGATCCTATTTCCATGAAATGTTAGGTCATAGGAATGTGTATCAATAAGAAGTATCAGGACACTTAGCAAAATGTACACAGCACTGTCTCGAGCAGAGGCAGACGAGGGGTAATTTTCTTTGGATTTGATCACATACATGTTTATCTTAATTTTCATTTTAAGATTTTTTGAGAGAGGTTTTTGCTATAGGGTGCATGCACTCGCCAGAAGACAGAAAGCAAGATGGCGAGGATGGCCACACCGTGATCCCTTCTCCTCCATTCTCCTCTCAGGATCTTGGGCATGTGATGCACACATGCCTGGCGTGAATTTTAAGCCACTGGGTCTATGCCTTGAACCATGGTTGGCCATGTGGGAGTCCAGCAATGTAACCATTACGCCATCTGCTGGCCCCTTAATTTTTATTTTAACAATGATCATTTGACACCTTATATTCCAGAATCATTTTTATAACCTTCTCAGCATAAAGATCTTTTTTTTTGGCGGGGGGGGGGGCACTGATCACTCCCAGAGACATCTTGTATACATGTGACTTTACAGAGTACGCTACATGCATCACGGCATAGTGAATATTCACCCCTGACAAAGAAGACCTGAAACCTCCCTGATGCAATGAATAACTGGCATCATTAGAGACATCATTTATATGCATGCCTTTACATAATGTCGTACGTGTACCACAGAGTGGTGACACTTTTTTTTTTACATTCATTTATTTATTCAAAGAGGAGGAAAAAGACATCCCCAACAGAGTTTTATGTCATCCAGGATCATGGGTACAAGCACTTGAACCTAACAGGACGGGGAAACCCTAGGACACAAACCAGGGCCTTCCCACATGGCTTCAGCATCACTGAGCTTTGTGTCACTGCTGTGCCACTGTGACTTCCCCAAACACATTTTTCACTGAAATACCCAGCAGGATCATTTTGATCTCTTCTGATTAATATAAAATAATTTTTTAATGTAAAAATTCTCTGGAGAAAATAAGCAGAAGAATTTTAAAAGCAAACAAACAGCCTTATGCCTAGTGAGTAACTTATCTTCTTGGTTTATAAAGAGAGTGGGGTGAAGGACAAGTGACAGAGAAACCTAAAAGACCAAACATAAAAGGAAATCACTTGCCTCCCCCGAGTTAAGCTAAAATTTGATTCCCATACAAAGCACAGGAAGGACAAGGGCTCCATCTTCTCATGGCGAGTAAGGTTACACAGTAGAACACATCAGAAAGCTATTTTTCAGAACTAAAAAGTGTCCTTGAAATATATCTATAGAATATAACACAGCAAACTTTTTCTCTCTCTTTTTCAACAGCAGAATGTGCATATACTCTTATGAGGGGGAAATGGGGAGAGAAAGAACCCCATCAGTGCAGCCTGCTCACCCAGCTTTTTCCTTCCAATCTGTTTCATCAGGTTCCTGAGCACCCCCATCTCCCAATGTGTTTTTCAAGCTGACAGGGCCAAGACTTGAACCCTATCTGTCTGTGTGGGATCCAGCTTCCTCTGGCTGGCACCTAATTGCTATGCTACAAGGCTGGTCCTGAAAACTCACACTCTTCTCCATAAATCTAGAAATATACCTGGTATGAATATCACTAGAAAAGTTCCCCAGGGTCTGTAGAAATGACAAACTATGAACAGACGAAGCAATATATTTTTATGCCATCATATATTACCAAATACATGATACCAAAAATTCTTCATGGTCACGTGACGAATTTTTTGCTGGTTTGCCCTCTAGCCTACCCTTCCCTAGACAGGCTAAGTCATTTAAGATACAAACAAGGATCAAGGTAATTTTCAACAATAACATTCTTCTGCCCTTAATTTGTCCAAGTTTGGGCTTTATAAAACCACAGGGCTATGAGATACAAATACATTCTGACCCTAAATAATTTTTTTACTTTACCATTGCTGACATTCCTCAAAACTCTAGAATGAAGAGCTAGCAGAAGGCTTACCTAGAACAGACTCATGGATTTCACTGTCATTAAAATAGGTGCCAAAGGGGGAGGCTCCCAAGTGGAAACTTAATAGACACAAGGAAGACTAATGTTATAACGTTTTCCTAACTGGGAGAAAAAAAAAAAAAGTCAACGGCTACTCCAAGAGTTAAAATGCTGCCTTTTATTGAACTCTCAGGCCACCTCTCCCACATGCAGGCAGCAGAGATATTTTAAATGCATTACCTTTAGGAGGGAAATACGACTTGCTTTCTGCTTTGTGAGGCCAGTCTACCACGAGAGGTCCAAACCTGCGAAAGCTGGCAGTGATCTCATCTGGAAAACAAAGAAGGTGTCTTAGCATACGAGAGAAAAATAGCTGCAATCAGAACAGTGCGAAATATGTCTTTCTGTTAAAACTATGTTGTGAGGGCTATTTCTAAAGCATTTTTACAGAAGTTGAACCTACTAAGTGAAATATCACTGCTTGGGTATACATTTGGTTATTCACTTTTAACCATGCAAAGCATTTCTAATCACGAATTCATTTCCTTTTACTGCCAACAAATTTGACACATGGAATTTGGAAGGAAAAAAAATCTGTACTAGCTAGCTAAGGTGACTTCTATTTGAAGTAAAACGGAGAGTCTAAAATTAGGAATGTTCTCTGTTTTCAGAAAAAACGTCAAAGATACAGAAAATATTTAAAATACGGTTTCACTTGTATGGAATCTCTCACATTGTCTTTTTACATATTATTTATTTTTGGAGAGGTTTTTGCTATAGGGCACATGTGCTTGCTAGAAAGAGAGACAGAAAGTGAGAAATGATCCCCCAGGGGAAGATGGCCACGCCGCAATTCCTTCTCCTCCATTCTCCTCTTGGGATCTTGGGCGTGCATGCATACATGCATGGCGTGAGTTTAAGCCACCAGGTCCGGGACTCAAACCATGGTCAACTACAAGAGAGTCTAGTGGCATAGGCATTATGCCAACTGCTGGTCCCTCGCTCACATTATTTTAGAACTAGATATAATTCTCTGGTAAGGAATAGGGATAATAAGTAGGTAATTCCATTTGGTGATAAAATCCTAAATCCCAGTGGTCTAAATACACACCTTATAAAGAAAATATAACATAAATTATAGCCCAACAAATTTATTATATCCTTGTAATTTCTGACTCACAGCAGAAAATTAAATCTGGTTCCTACTCAGGTTTACGGTGCCTTCTCTTAGGCATGATCAAAATTTTGTCTTAAAGAAACTCTACATAATTGATATATGAGATTAACATGAATATGAGAACAGTTTAGAAGAAAATAAGGTTCTGGATTTTAACTTTAATATATTGAGTTGTCAGAAAAGTCATGATGTATTTTTTCTATGCAAAAATATGTCATGACTTTTCAGACAACCCAATAGTAAGTCTAAAAATAAAATATGTTTAGAGACTTCTCTCATCATGAAAACAAAAGGAAATCATTGGGACCAGCAGCTGGCATAATGGCTATGTCGCTGGACTCCCATGTAGTTGACTGTGATTCAAATCCCATACCCAGTGGCTTAAACTCATGCCGGGCACATGTGCCTGCATGCTCAAGATCCCGAGAGGAGAACAGAGGAGAAGGGATTGCAGTGTGGCCACCCCCAAGAGAGTGATTTCTCACTTTCTGTCTCTGTCTCTCACTTTCTGTCTCTGTCTCTCTCTTTCTGGCAAGTGCCCACACCCTATAGCAAAAACCTCTCCAAAAAAAAAAAAAAAAAAAAGAAAATTATGATAAATTAAAGAAGAATGATACTGGCAAACAAATCTGCTGAACTATTATTTCATAGCAGATCCAAAGCCTATTGGAACTAGAGTTTTTTTTTTTTCTTAAAATAACTTTGTCACAATTCAGTTTTACTTGTCCATTCAGCAAATATGTATTGATAACCTACTATGTGCTAAAATGAATACCTTTACTGGATTTACACATAAGTCAAAAACTCACTTTCAGACTCGTAGTATCTAAAAATATTAAGAACAATTCTAATTTGTCTTCATCTTTTAAAGGTAAAAAGGGAATTATGCTTTTCATTGATAGGTATTTATATTAAAACGTGAGCTGGCATGGCGTGATGGTATGAGTAAAGCCCTGGAATCAGCCTGAATCGGGGCTCTAACTGCACCATCAGCTACAAAACCCTGGACAAATCATTTCTACTTTATACTAAGTTTTGTCATCTATAAAGCGGAGATGGTATGATATACTTTATAAAAGAGCTGGGAGAACTAAATGAGATAATATGATGTGATGTTCTTAGTACAATATTAGACTTACAGGAAGAGTCTCCTAAGTATCAGCTCTCATTATTATGTTGAAATTTAATTCCTGATCACTAGGAAGCATGCAGCTGCTGGGAGACTGATACGTTGCCACGAATACACAACCGATCTGACCCGTGTAACCTAGTAATCCCTCATATATCAGATGTTCTTATCTCCTGCGCACTAAGATAGACATGTCCTGACGCGGACTTGGGGAGGACCGGCAAGGTCAGAGCACAGCCAGCACAGACCCAGCCTCTGCAAAGTCATTCAGGAATGCAGAGTACCTTCATCGATATCAGGGGGCAGGCCTCCAACAAACACCTTTCTGGAGTAGCGCTCTACTCGTTCCCCGTTTTGACAGCGAGTGGGAGAACTTAAGCCGGAGGACAAGGCCTGATCGCCATGGTTGTCGTCCAGGAAGGCATCTTCAAAGGGAAAGAGAGAAGACCGACCTGAAACAAACGTGGGAGTTTCTATGATTAAAATGATTTTTCTGGACAGTGAATGCTTTATTAGAAGCCCAAAGTACAGAGTAAAAGGTACCCCAGCCCCCCCAAAAGTGCCCTGAGTTGTGGCTTTTCCAACAGGACATGCAACTGACGACGACCCAGTCCAGACAAGCTTATCGGTTTTGTGAGGGAACTCAGCCCTGCGATGACGGACTGAAACCTACAGAAGATGCACCCAAACTGCAGCGGTTTGAAAACCTTTCCAGAAATTGCTACCCATTATTCACATGGTGTCCATCGCAGCTGCTAAGAGTATATTCAGCAGCGAGCACTGCTTTTTATCGGTCATTTCTTAAAATAAATTGAAAAAGTAATCGCTATTCACAGGTTTTAATCTACTCCTTATGGTGACTTCAGCGGTGGCCGGGATCGCAAAGAGAATATTAAACTGATAACAGCGGTTGAGGGCGTCTTTTTGGATCGCAGATCTCCGGACTAACAATCATCACATTTCCCCTGCCAGCCCAAGCTAGTCCAATCTGGAAGTAAACATTTGCAATAATAAAAGGGTGGGCAAGTAACTGAAGACAAATAAATTAAGATGTGGGAGGATAGGGAAGTAGGTGGTACAGTGGCTGTGTGCTAGACTCCCACACGGCTGTCTGTGATTTGAGTCCTGGACCGGGGAGTTAAAATCATGCTGGGTGCATGTGCATGCATGTCCAAAATCCCAGGAGGAGGGACTGTGGCATGGCCATCCCCCAGAGTGGGGTCGGGGATGATTTCTCTTTCC